TGTAATCTCAGCATTTTGGGAGGCCAAGGTTTAAGGATTGCCTGAGTCCAGGAGTTCAAGACCAGCCTGGGCAACATGGTGAAACCCCGTCTCTACTAAAAATAAAAAAATTAGGTGGGTGTCATGGTGCAGGCCTGTAATCCTAGCTACTCAGGAGGTGGAGCTACAAGAATCGCTTGAACTTGGGAGGCAGAGGTTGCAGTGAGCTGAGATGGTGCCACTGCACTCCAGCCTGGGCAACAGAGTGATACTGTGTCTCAAAATTAAAAAATTAAAAATAAATAAAATAGGCCGGGCGCGGTGGCTCAAGCCTGTAATCCCAGCACTTTGGGAGGCCGAGACGGGCGGATCACGAGGTCAGGAGATGGAGACCATCCTGGCTAACACGGTGAAACCCCGTCTCTACTAAAAAATACAAAAAACTAGCCGGGCGAGGTGGCGGGCGCCTGTAGTCCCAGCTACTCGGGAGGCTGAGGCAGGAGAATGGCGTAAACCCGGGAGGCAGAGTTTGCAGTGAGCTGAGATCCGGCCACTGCACTCTAGCCTGGGCGACAGAGCGAGACTCCGTCTCAAAAAAAAAATAAAATAAAAAATAAATAAATAAATAAATAAAATAAAATAAGATAAAGTCCATTTTTGTACCAGTCATTTGAGATCCCACCTTTATCACGTATTACATTTCCAGGTGAATTTGTGTCTATTTCTAAGCTTTCTATTCTATTCCATTGGTCTATTTGTCTATTCTTGTACTAGCACCAAGCTTTTAATTATAGAGAACTTATAGTATGTTTTAATGACTGATATATGACTCATCCCTCAAATTGATTTTTCTTTTGAGTGTGTCTTGGCTATTGTTACATGTTTGTTTTTCTATATAAACTATAATATTAGCTTATCTAACTTCATGAAGAAGCTTGTTGGTATTTTCATTGAGATTGTCCTAAATATATAAATTAATTTAGGGAGAGCTGACATACTTATAATATTGAGTTGCCTTGTCCAAGAACAGAAGATGTCTTTCCATTTGTTCAAGTCTACCTGTCTATTCTTGATACTTCATGTCTTTCAAAAATGCTTCTTGTCTATTCTTGACTCTTTACTTTTCCATATGCATTAGAATTAACTTGGCAAGTTCTGTTAAAAACTTGTTGATTGAAATTGCATTAAATGTATAGATTAACTTGATGATAACTAAGATCTTTATGATTTTAAACTTTCTAATTAATGAATAAATATATATCTTCATTTATTTCACTTTTCTTTTAGTCTTACAATATATTTTTATAATTTTCCTTCATAGAGTCGTGTATATCTATTGTTAGGTTATTCCTAGGTCCTTATTTGCATTTGTTTTTTGTTGTTGCTGTTGTAAATGGAATCTATTTTAAAATTACATTTTCCTAATTGTTTGTGGCTGATGTATAAGAATGTTATTTATATAGCATGTTGATATTTTAATCCATCAGCATTGCTGAACTCACATCATCTACGAATAATTACAGTCCTGTTTCTTTCTTCCCAATCCTTTACTCGTTTTATGCCTTGTCTTATTGTACTGTTTAATATCCTCTACAACAAAATTAACCAGAGGTGATTATAATGGGTATTCATCCTTTGTTCAGAACTTAAACAGGAGTATTTCTGAATTTCATCATGGAGTATAATATTTGCTGTAGAGTTTTGGTTGATAACCTTTATTAGTTTAAGAAAGTTCCCTTCTTTTTTTGTTAGCTATCAGTTTAATCATGAAAAGGTTATTGAAGTCTACAAAATATTTGTTCTGCATGTATTGAAGTGTGTATATATTTCTCTCTTTATATAAAGTTGTGTTTTTAAATAATTAACAATATAATTGTGTGTTATTAATAATTTTAAATATATTAATACATATTAATGTAATTAAATACAATGCTAGAATCCATTTACTAATATTTTATTTAAAGCTTTTTGTCTTTGCTTGGGAATGTGATTGACCTTTTAATTTTGTCTGTTTATTAGAATCAAGGTATATCTGCCTCATGAAAGGTATGTGTTTGTTTTTCCTTTCTATTCTCTGAAAGATTTTTGGATTATCTATTCCTTTAGCATATGGTAGAACAATCCTAAAAAACTTTTGGGCTGGTGTTTTTAATGGGTAGATTTTAATTACTGATTCAGTTTCTTCGGTTGTTCAATAGTTTATTCAGATTTTCTGTTTCTTTTTTGAGTTAGTTTTGCTTCTACATTTGTTTTGAAGAAATTGCCTGTTTTACGTATTTTCTAATTAATTTATAATATAGTTGTTCAAAGCGTTATTTCATGAATGTTAAATATCCACCATATTTGTAACTATGTCTTCTTTTGTTCACAGCACCTTTTTTTTTTTTTTTTTGTCTGAGTCCCACTCTGTCGCCCATGCTGGAGAGCAGTGGTGTGATCTCGGCTCACTGCAAACTCCACCTCCTGGGTTCAAGTGATTCTCTTGCCTCAGCCTCCTGAGTAGCTGTTCACAGAGCCTTTTATTCTTACTCTTCATTAAAAATCTTCTAAAAGTTTGTCAATTTTCCACAAAACAAATTTAGGATTGTGATACTTTCTATTGTTTCATTGTCTTTAGTTTATTAATTTTCAGTCATATCTTTATCATTTTCTTCCCTCTATTCAACTTGCCTATCGTAGATAGGTTTTTTTTCCTTCTAATTTCTTGGGTTGTATGTTTGGTTCGTTAATTTTCAACTCATTTATGTCAAATGCATGTATTTAAGATGATGAATTTTCCTTTAACTGTAATGATAGCTGCACCTCACACATTTTTACAAATAGTTTTAGTTATAACTCAGTACTAAATATTTTTTAATGTCTGTTATCATTTATTTCCTGTTTGATTAATGATTTACCTAAAAGCATTTTCAAAAACTTATTGCCGTAAATGTATTCAGTCTTTTTATTTGGCTAATAGCTTGAAACAAAGTTGAATCACATCTTGCCTAGAGAAAAAGCATGTTTTTAAATCCCCAAATTTATGGAGTTCTTTTTGCTTTTTAAAAGATTATTGATTTATAACTTAATAGCATTATGGTTGATGACTTGGTATATATGATATCAGCTCTTTGCTATATGTTGAGATGTGCTTTGTGGCCTAAAATGTGGTCAGTTTCTGCAAATGTACAATGTGCACTTCAACAGAACATACATTCTTTTTTTGTTAGGTACGGAAATCTATATATGTCAATTTATATAAGTGGTTCCAATCCTTTAATGCCATAACATATATAGAAAATTCTAATATTTGTACAGCACAGTAGCATAAGTTGGAGTTTATTTGAAAATGTCTTGCAGGGCTTACTAAAATATTTATTGTACCTTTTAAAATGTTATATAATTATAAGGAAAAATAAGTATTAGATAAGATATTGTTAAATTTTTATAAGCCTAAATAAAACATTTTCAGAATTTTACTTGAGAAACTTATAAGGAAAAATAAGTATTAGATAAGATATTGTTAAATTTTTATAAGCCTAAATAAAACATTTTCAGAATTTTACTTGAGAACATAACTATTTTAATCAGATTTTATGTTTGAAGTAGCTATAGATCATTCCTGATTAAGATGTTTTAATAATGACCTTTTCTAATCTCTTCAAATTCATAGTGTTGAAAACCCAATGAAAATATTTGTCCAGATAAATTACCAAAATAATTTTACAATGTTTTAAAAACAATTCAAACTGTTGATATTATATAGGAAGCATCTAAAGCTCTTCCTTAATTTCACTAAGAAAATGTAATTTGAAATTTCTTGTGATAGGGCATGGTAGCTCTGTAACGTGCCCACTTGGCTAGTTGGACTGTGTCTCCCAGAAGCCCTTTCCCTATGTATTTTCAGCAGGCATTTTTGCATGAGATTTGGAGGGTAGAAGTGAAGCAGAAGCCATTCTGTTTTGTATGCTGGGAAGGTTGGAGCAGGGGTGTTTTAAGGCTCACATGTGTTGCTTTATCTTTCGGCTCATCTCATTTGCTTAGGGTAGCATCTGGACCTGGAACTGCTGCACCTTCCCCTGAATCTTCCTTTGCCTTCTCTAATTCCTGAGCCAAGTGTGTGTTTATGTGTTTAGCTCTGGGACAAAGGGCATTAGCATCTCCTGCAGGACACTCACTTCATCAAGGCTGGAGACAGCAAGAACTGACACTGGTTGCAGGCCATCCTTGTAGGTTACATCTTGACCTTAATCTCTCCTATTTATATGCACCTTGCTTGCTCTTGGGTTTCAAATCCAGCACTAGACACAAAAATAATAGCTTATTGGTGGCAGAGGCCGGGGAGGCTTTGGAGGGCGAGGCGGCTTCCGAGGAGGCAGAGGAGGAGGAGGTGACCACAAGCCACAAGGAAAGAAGACGAAGTTTGAATAGCTTCTGTCCCTCTGCTTTCCCTTTTCCATTTGAAAGAAAGGACTCTGGGATTTTTACTGTTACCTGATCAATGACAGAGCCTTCTGAGGACATTCCAAGACAGTATACAGTCCTGTGGTCTCCTTGGAAATCCGTCTAGTTAACATTTCAAGGGCAGTACCTTGTTGGTTTTGACTGGATATTCATATAAACTTTTTAAAGAGTTGAGTGATAGAGCTAACCCTTATCTGTAAGTTTTGAATTTATATTGTTTCATCCCATGTACAAAACCATTTTTTCCTACAAAAAAAAAAAAAATAATAGCTTAATAGAAACTGTTCAACCACGGCAAAGTGCGGTGGCTCACACCTGTAATCTCAGCACTTTTGGAGGCCGAGGTAGGTGGATCTTGACCGAGGTGGTCAAGAGTTCGAGACCAGCCTGGCTAACATGGCGAAACCCTGTCTCTTTACTAAAAATACAAAAAATTAGCTGGGCCTGGTGGTGGGCGCCTATAGTCCCAGCTACTCAGGAGGCTGAGGCAAGATAATCGCTTGAACCTCGGAGGCAGAGGTTGCAGTGAGCAGAGATTGCACCATTGCACTCTATTTAGCCTGGGGAACAAGGGCAAAACTCCGTCTCAAAAAAAAAAGAAAAAAAAAAAAAGAGAGAGACTGTTTAATCAGCTTCCATAGTTGCATAAGGTGAAATCCTTGTCTGTCTGTCTATCTATCTATCTATCTATCTATCTATCTATCTATCTATCTATCTATCATCTATTAATCATCTATCTTTTTCTCTATCTAGCTGTCTATTTGGATGTCTGGCCATCTTATCCCCAAAAAGTTCTTCTTCTCTGTCTGAACCCTGACTTACACATAGGACAAATAAATTTCAAATCCAAATAAAATTTCACATACCAGGTATTTTAAAATTCTACTGAAATTCTACTATTAGAACAGTTACCTCTAGCTTGCAGGCCATTCAAGTGCATAGTAGTCACAAACAGACAAAAGCATCAATGGTGGATTAAAGACAACTGCAAATTCTTTGATATTTCTCCCATTTAGAGGTGGGGTCTACTTTCCCTTTTCTTGAATCTAGGCTGGCCTGTGACTGCTTTGGCCAATTGAATAGGGAAGAGTGATGCTGTGCTGTTTCCAGGCCTGTTCTTTAAAAGGACTTGGAAGCTTCTGCCTTGGCCTCTTGGTGCCTGAGTTGCTGTATAAGAATCTGACTTCCTTGCTGGAGAGACCTTGTGGAGAAGACTTGACCTTATATGCAGAGGTAGAGGAGCCCTGGTTAGTCCAGCCATCTAGCCATGCTGTCAAAATAGCAGGTATGTGAGAACAGCTGTCTTGATTCCTCCAGCCCAGCCCAGCCACCAACTGAATAATACCAAGTATATGTACCTCAAATGGAGCAAAAGAACTGCTCAGCTAAGTCCTGCCCAATGTCCTGACTCAGAAGATAATGAGAGATAATGAAATCATTGTTGTTTTAAGCCACTGTGTTTTGAGGTAGTTTATTACACAGCAATGGATAACAGAACATTATTTAATATATACATACGTAAAGACAGGTATTTGGGACCAATGCCTGGATTAGCACTTACCAGGAGTCCCCTTTCCCCATCTCTCCACCCATGCTGCAGTTTGGGTTGTATTCCTTGCTCAGTCACCTGGAGCATCCATTCCCCTGGAGCTCCACGAGCCCTTTGGACTCAGAGAGCAGGGGTTTGCCCTGCAGTGCCTGCTGAAGTACATCTCCAGGAAGTAGAGCACCTTGGCCATGCACAGTGCATCTGGCAGAGCAGTGAGGGCTCCATTTTGCTCATTGCACTCAAGATCTCCAGGGACTATGGGGTCCCCTGTCAGACCTTGCTCTGCTCCATCCTCTCTACAAGGAGCCTTGGATAAGGCTTCTAACATCCTGGAGGCTCCAGGCAGCCAGGCCCTGCCAGACTGCCCTGAGGGCCAAAGGGATTAATATCTCACAGCACATCTGTAAGTGATTCTTGGCATTCCAGGGAGTCTGGCACAACTGTGAGCAGCTCTGAATTAAATCAAGCTTCTTAATTTGTGCAGCTCAATTTTTTTTTTTTTTTTTGTATTTTTGAGACGGAGTCTCGGTCTGTCGCCCAGGCTGGAGGGCAGTGGCATGATCTTGGCTCACTGCAAGCTCCGCCTCCCGGGTTCACCCCATTCTCCTGCCTCAGTCTCCCGAGTAGCTGGAACTACAGGCGCCCGCCACCACGCCTGGCTCATTTTTTGTATTTTTAGTAGAGATGGGGTTTCACTGTGGTCTCAATTGCCTGACCTCGTGATCCGCCTGCCTCGGCCTCCCAAAGTGCTGGGATTACAGGCATGAGCCACTGCGCCCGGCCAGCTCAAATTTTTAAAATTCTTACTAATTTTTTATTTGCTAGATCACCCCCTTTCTGTCTTGTCTTTTATTATCTATTTAATCCTATCCTTTTTTTGAAATCCTAACTTAGTCATTATTGTTGTGCTAATCAGCTGCCTTTGCTTTCAGATCCATTTCCTGCCCTTGTCTTACTCTACTCTGCATTACAGCCAACCACATTTCCAGGCTCCCTTGTCCTCTGCTATCTAGGTGAGTTTTGTCAGTGGAAGACATTGGTGGAAGGTTGGATGCTTCTTCTAGCATCTCTGGTGGTGTCTGTGTCTCCTCCATGATTTCAGCTCCCACTGGGTGTCACTCACTTCGTGGTTTTAGTGCTTGCCCAATGGCCTGGCTTCTGAGCCCTGCTTCTGCAGCCCAGGGAGAGTAGCAGCAGCCTGCTGTTTCAGTGTCTGGGTTGTCACTCTATTCCTGTTTGACTTCTCTGTGCTTCCATGACCCATGTAAGTCATTAAATTCCCTCTGTCAGAAAGACTTAGGTTCCTGTTTCATGACTGGATGCTGACTGATAATGTTATTATTATTGTAACTATTATCGTTGTTATTGTTTCTATTATTTTATACTGTCAATGTCTGTTTAAATTTACCCATGTGTTTTCAAATTACTTTGATCACCTTGCATTTTGCATTCCACTTCTTTACTTTTGGTTAAAGTTTTCTTCTTTTTGCAACATATCCTTAGTATTTATTTCTGTAAGGGTGTGTGTTTTAGATAACTTACAGATTCAAAATTTTAAAATATGAGTTTTTGTCATTTACTTAAGATCTGTATGCAAGAAGGAATGAAAAAGATGAACAGGTAGAGGCAAGGACTACCTACCACAACTCAGGTTGATATTAATTTTATGATTTAATTAATTCCATAAATTCTCTTTTCTATATGAATACAAGGTTCCTCCCTCCGTGTACTCACACACCTACCTCTTCTAGAAGTTGCCTTGGTATCCACAAAGAAGTTGAGGTGGTCCAGTACTCATAAGCCAACAAACTTCAAAGGAGAGTCAAATGTCCATTTTCAAAACAAGAGTATTGAAGAGTTGAAATAAACACACGAAAAGAGATTCAAATGTACATCTTAAAAGGAAGAGGAGATACTTTGAAGAAGCAGGGGAATGTGACGTTGAAAGTCTCTGAAGAGGTTATGATAGTAGTTTAAGGGAGTAGAACATTAAAACATTTTTGTCTGTTCAATCTTAATTTTTAAAAATGATAGCATAGAGTTTGGCCAATTATGGAGGGGCAGATTTCATCATTGTGAATGAGCAGTAAGCTTCCTTGGTTTTTTATTTGGGAAGTGTATTTATTTTACTTTCACTTTTGAATGAGATTTAGCTGATGCAATGGACTGAATTGTGTTCCTCCAGAGTTTGTATGTTGAAGCTCTAATGGCAAATGTTACAGTATTTGGAGACAGGGCCTTTAAAGAGGTAATTAAGGTTAACTAAGGTCATAAGGATAGAGACTAACCCAATGTCACTGTCCTTATAAGAAGAGAAACCTGGCTGGCACCGTGGCTCACGCCTGTAATCCCAGCACTTTGGGAGGCCGAGGCGGGCGGATCACGAGGTCAGGAGATCGAGAACGTACTGGCTAGCACAGTGAAACCCCGTCTCTACTAAAAATACAAAAAATTGGACGGGCGTGCTGGTGGGCACCTGTAGTCCCAGCTGCTGGGGAGGCTGAGGCGGGAGAATGGCGTGGGCACGGGAGGCGGAGCTTGCAGTGAGCCAAGATCGCTCCACTGCACTCCAGTCTGAGCGACAGAGAGAGACTCCGTCTTAAAAAAGAAAAAAAAAAGAGACACCCGGGATGCGTTTGCACAGAGAAAAGGCCACAGGAAGATACTGCAAGAAGAGGGTGCTCTGCAAGTCAAGGAGAAACCAAACCTAACACTTTGATCTTTGACTTCTGGGCTCCATAACTGTGAAAAATAAGCTTCTGTTGTTTAAGCCACCTAGTTTGAGGTATTTTGTTATGGCAGCCCTAGAAAACTAAATACAGCTGGGTATAGAATTCTAGGTTGATGATTTTGCTTTTATAGTATTTTTATGGTATTTTGAGATGTGTGTCTTCGAAGTTCTGCAGTTGCATTATATTGTGGCTTGCTTTGGATTTGTTTCGTTTAAGCTTTATTTATCCTTCCTGGAATTCATTACAATTTTTGAACTTCACGATTCAAGTGTTTTAATCATGGATGAAAACATTTCAACCATTATCTCTTCAAGTATTGCCCCCGTCTTATTTTCCTCTATTTCACATTCTTGGAATTAAATCTGTTGGTCCTCCTCATTGCGTCTTCCATGTCCCTTAAGCTTCCATATTTTCCAGATCTTTATATCTCTGTGCCTATTGAGTAATGTCCTAAAATCTGTTTTCCAGTTTATAAATTCTCTTGCTGTATCTACTCATTTAAGTTTTTAATTTCCTTGACATATACCTATGTGAGTGGGTGGGTTTTTACTTAGACTACCTTTTCACGTAGAATATGTTGACTACCTTTTCATGTAGAACATAGCTTCTATGCAAGGTTCTCAATTCCAATTTCCTGCCCACTTGGGCCAAATGCTTACTTCATGTTTCTACATGAGCATGAAATCCCAAGCCCTTGGGTGAACAGAATCAGTAATCACCGGTCCGGCACGGTGACTCACGCCTGTAATCTCAGCACTTTGGGAGGCTGAGACCAGCCTGGCCAACATGGTGAAATCTTGTCTCTACTAAAAATCCAAAAAAAAATAAAAAGTAAATAAATAAAATTAGCCCAGAGTGGTGGCATGCGCCTGTAATCCCAACTACTTGCGAGGCTGAGGCAAGAGAATCGCTTGAAACCAGCAGGTGGAGGTTGCAGTGAGCTGAGATCGCCCTACTGCACTCCAACCTGGGTGACAAAGCGAGACTCCATCTCAAAAAAATAACAATAAATAATAATAATCACCCCTCCACCTCCACAGCACAGCTACGTCATGAACTGACACCTTGAAACTTTGTTCTGTTTTCAATTATCTCTTGGTTTCTGATGCCTGGGCATTTCTTTTTCTTTCTTGAGAGCTTAAGCATGAATATAAAACATTTCAAATTTTATATTTTATCCAGTATTTCTAGTTTTTTAATAGTGAGATTTATCTTACTCTCTCATTTTATTAAAACAGAAAGTCTTGAGTAACATTTTAAAACTGAGAAAAAAAGTCTCATTATTAGTTTTAGAAAAAGCGAGACAATCTGTGTTGTTCTGGCACCAAGACAAAGTTCTAGAAGATTCTCTCTTGATCCTTAAACAGCATAGAAAAACCAGGTAAGTTGACTATGTTCATGTTTAGGCGTATGATGGCCAATGGATCCAAAACCTACCCTATATCTACATCTTGGTAGACACATTAATCTGACATCTGACAGCAAGAGTAATGATTGGGTTCACTGGAAATCTTTGTGAAGTACAAGTGAAGTCCTTGTGAAGTCAGAGTGAGTGTCAGAACTTTGAGTTCTAGTCGTGGCTCTAGACTGATTCAAAAGGTCAGGGCCTAATCAATTTACTCGTTAACTTATAATCATAATTAATTAGATTTTATTAATATGAGAATAAAAGAATTGTTCAGCACCTACTAAGCCAAATCCTAGTGATATGGAGAAGCAGATAAAAGTTGCTGCTCTCAAAGAACACAGTTCAGTAATAGGAGACTGGCTTGGAATCATCTATCCTACAAGTGAAATTTTGATGGATTTTTGTTGAGGTGCAAAGGATGGAGCGGTCAGTTGAATCTTGCAGGGGGTACTATAATCAGAAAGTTCCAAGAGTAGTAGATGAGAATTCTGGAGGCCTAAGATCTTGTCATCAGATTTGTAGAAGGATATTTAAGGTGTGCAGGCTCCTCCATGAGTAGCCCCAATGCCTTGGGTAGAATGGATACAAAGGTACGGACTTTTTGCATCCTTCACAGGATATCAGGAGGCTTAGAGCAATATCTGCAAAATGTTGGCAATTGCTGAAATGCAGCCCTACAGCATCCATGGGGTCTTGCCCTTCTTCAACCATTCAGTAAATAGCACTCAGTAGAAATTCTGGCTGAGGATACTTGTTTTCAGAACAACAGCCCTGAGCCAACCTTCTTAAGTAGTTCCATATGCTTTTATGGAGAGTTTATGGATTGTGGCCTTTGGAATTCTTTTGTTTATCACTGGGAATTCAAGTCCTGAAAGCTGCTAACTAACCATGAGGTCCGCTGGTTATACAAGCTGTTGGACCTCTTAAGGACTTTGACATAAGGACCACTTTCTGTGAAATAAGAATTAGTGGTTTAAAAAGAGTGTACTTAACAGTATCATGTAAGTATCAGATTCTGTATGTCATTACTAGCCAGGGTTTTTTTTTAAAAACTGGACTGTGCTGCCTTGTGTGTACATTTAAATGAGGCCCTTAAAGGGAAATCTGAGCAATGTCTTCAAACAAAGACTTATAATCAGTGGGGTCTTTTTTTTTTTTTTAAATGAATAACTATCTTCAGCAGACCTAAAATCAGGATGGAAAGGTGGGTACTTCCCCACCTGGGCCCCAAAGCGGGGCCCTTCAAAATACTGAAGGTCCAGCATTCCCTGGGCAATTCTTCCTCCATCTCTGTCCTCCCCACCGCCGTCAATGCCCAGCTTGCAGTGATATTCTTTTACCCTTTACTAATCTAATGCCAAACACATGTAGGTTCTATCCTGTTTCCAGGAAAGAGGTTTCCATGAATTGCCTCATCAGCCTTACTAATAGCTACAATATATGGAGCACTTTGTGCCCAGCACTCGATTCCTTTTATACTTGATGTCTTTTCATCCTTTCTTCACAATAGCCCCATGAGGTGGGTGCTATAATTATTTCTCATTTTACAGATAAGGAAACCAAAGCTCAGAGAGTCTGAGCAATTTGCTTAAAGTTACTTAACAGCTATATTAGCCTACTACTTATAATTCGACTACCTGTGTCCAAGGCTACATAAATTCAGGTCGCCTGACTCAAAGCTCTTAGTCAACATGCTAGCCTCCTTCTCACTCTCTCATAGGAAAAATCTATATGTTTCTTATGAGATCTAGCTTGATCTCTAAGTCTCCATTCCAGCTTGGAAGAACTATGGTTCTTCTGCAATGTCAGTTGTGTTGCTGTTCATGCTGTTTTCATGTAAAACAACGTAAGAAAGAGGCTGATAATCTCCCTC